TAGATCTACCAAATGTAGGGAAGAATGTATGTGATGTTAACTAAGGTTTAGCACAAGGATTTGACCTGATCTTGTATATCATTACACAGATGAATCAAGAGCGGGTTTAGTTCCAGGAAGTTGGAATTTGGAGGCTACTGTAGTACTTTCGTTTTTATTTGGCAATTAGTGTTCAATCATGGACTAATTAGGCTCAAAACGTTCGTCTCGTAATTTCCCACCAAACTGTGCAATTAGTTTTTTTTCGGTCTACATTTAATGCTCTATGCACGGGCCGTAAATATTCGATGTGATAGTTACCGTAGCACTTTTTGAGATTTAGAGGGAAACTGAACACGCGCCAAAATGATGGTGCATACGCAACTAAAGGCTGCACAGTGATGCAACTGCATGTTCCGACCTGTACCTGAACATTTGGCAGCCAGCTGCGCACGGCGTAAAGCCACCACGTCACGGATTCATCCAGCTCAGCTGCATTAGTGCATTATTACCACGTATGACCTTCCCTCTCCACTCTATACACTCTGGATAGTGGCTGCCTACTCCACCAACCAAAGGGTACAACCGTCATTTGTCACGCTTAGTTCATCCAAGGGAAATGACCCCCGTGGCCCCATGTCTTAGCGCATTTCTCCTGCAACCTTTTTTTTATGCCCGGGCACTGCAGCGAGGCAGGAGAGCGACCGAAATTTCCCATCTTTTCGTCATTCCTTACGGATTTCCCCTCCTTGTTCCCAACTTCCCATCGATCAGAGGTCCCGGTGCTGTTGGCTTTCGCATTCGATTCCGTCGGAAGCAAAAGGAACTTATTTCCTTTCGGGTCGGATTTGTGGCCCGAGTTCTTGATTTGCTCTGTCCCTGTGGGAGGAGGAGGGCTTGTTGGATCAGGGATCGAGCAAGGAAGCAGCCATGAGCGGCGGAAGCGGGAGTTTCCTCGAGATCCAGCCATCGGAGCTGGCATTCCCCTGTAAGTCCTCCCAGATCTCGTATCTAGATCGAGCTGTTTGGATCATGTTGGGATGCTGCCGTGACTGTTCTTTTTTATTGGATCTTGGTCAAAGCTGGGATCTTGGTACGAAACATGGTCGGCGATCCTCCCTAGGTGGATTTGCGGCCCCCTAATCTGCTAGGTTTGTGGAGTGGGTTGTAAAATCATGCCTTCTTGTAGTAGGTTCATAATGCCATTGAGGTACTAGTATTTGTATACCGATCTGTTCGTCTGCTGGGGTTTGAGTGGGCTAGATTTGTTTGTTTGTTTGTTTGTTGATCCATGCTTCCAGTGTGCATTGTGTGTGTGGTGAGTCATCGGTTTGGTAGTTACTAGGCCTTTCCGGGGCTTTGGGATCTTGTAGAAAAGATTGCTTTGTAACTGTATTGGTGTGTGCTGTTTGTTTTCATGTGGTAGCGTGAAATGAAATTTGCCTGTATATTTGGCGCTGCTTTTGACTTGACATTCTGGTCATTGTCTGCTTGCTTAGCTTGAAATAACTGCAATGTGTTATTTAGCACTTATCCTAAGTGTGCTCTGTTTGTTGAGTTCGTTTGCCTTAGGTCTTTCTATTGACTATACAGTGGAAGTGGATTAAACTGTCTTGCTATGTGCCTGAACTGCTTTTCTGTACATGCAGTTGAGATAGTGAGGCAGAGCTCATGCTCCATGCAACTGACCAATAAGACTGACCATTATGTAGCATTCAAGGTAACTATTGTTCAATGCCACTTTTTTCATGCTCCAAGATATTCACTTGCTCCGACAGGTTGCACTGTTAGATGCAAATCTTATATCTCATCTATGGTTTGCAGGTCAAAACAACCAACCCGAAGCAGTACTGCGTGCGTCCTAATATTGGCGTTGTATTACCTGGGTCAACTTGTGATGTTACAGGTAGCACCCAAATGCATAACAACGTGAAACAACAGCTTGATGTGAGGAAATCCACTTATACCGTAACTCAAATTTGTACTTATGTTTACTTAACCTTTGTCTGTTGTTAGTGACAATGCAAGCACAGAAGGCTTCACCACCTGACATGCAGTGCAAGGACAAGTTCCTAGTTCAAAGCGTTGCAGCTGAGAATGGTGCAACAGCTCAAGATATTAATGCAGCAATGGTAGCTACTCTGCCACTCTTGATTAGTTCTATTTTCATAAGGTTGCTATGTGCATACAATCTTGCTTATCATGATGTGTGATGTGTCTATATGCTTTCATGATAACAGTTCAATAAGGAGCCAGGGAAGGTTGTTGATGAATTCAAGCTGCGTGTGGTTTATGTGCAAACAACTATGCCCAACCTGATCCCTGAAGAATCTGAACTAGGGAGTTCCGCTCCCTCATATTCACAAGAAAATGGGATCAGTCATTCCACGATGCCACTATCTGTAAGACACTGATCTATCTCATTTCTTTTGTTTCACATATATATTTGTACTCAGGTTGCTGCGGATTTTCATTTGAGGGTCTAGTGAATTGCTACTTCTAATCAGTTTGCAAATTTTAGGTATCTAGATCGTCTGCTGAAACAACAAAGGAGAAGCCCTCTGAGGTAGCCCTTTATGTTTTCCTCATTAGACATCAGTGCTATTAAATTTAAAAGCTTGCAACTTGCAAAAACATCTTGTGAATTGCACATCGACAATGTTTGAGTTATGTGATATGCCCTTGCTAGACTTGCCCTAACTAACCAGTTATGCATACAATTCAAAGTTTAATTGATAAGAAAGATTGGAGATGAACTCATGGGCAGAATTGGTCTATACATCCATGATGAATCTCAGTAGTTGATAATCCTTAAAATTTTGGAAGCATATACTGGTTTGCAAATTGCAACTGATTACAAAAGCTTGATGGGAAGCAATATCCCTTGGTGGTAATATCCATTCATGATTCATAGTAATAAAAGATTTTTTGACCCTTGGAAAGAAATGATACTATCAGAAAACTTGCTGTATCGATATAGGTTTTTCTGATGTTTAGATCTACCACATATAATTATGGGTTGGTCTCAAATAATCCAGCACCAGCATGGTAACTTCTTAGATGAAGTTTACTATCACATCTATTTATGACCAGAATGGATTTCTGGTTTTCTGAGATTTTGTGATCAGATTCACTATCCATTTTATAGTTGAGAAATATTAATGCCTCATTATCACTAAACTCTGTACTTTTAGGAAGAGAGGCAAACTAAGTGGAACGTAAGTAGGTTAGGGAACAAATCCCTTGCAAGTTTTCTAAACTTGATGCCTTCATGATTTCTTATTCACATGAACCATCTTGCTTTGAATGCTCATATAGTTCTTAGACATGAATATGCTTCACCCTATGAGTAGTAACAAATTGGAAGATATAATTTGTCTGATCTCTGCAGTTTTAGCTTTTCCATGTCCAATCTATTAAGTCCTTGACAGCAGAAAGCCAGAATACAAGACCTAATTTGGTTGTTAGTTTGTGTATAAGTTGTAACATACTTTATGAAGTTATGCGTTTTTGACTAATTCAATCTGGTTGGTAACTACTAGGCAACGTCTGTGATCTCCAAGCTAACTGAGGAGAAAATGTCTGCTGTTCAGCAGAACCAGAAGTTACGACAAGAGCTTGTAAGTCTCCAGACATTTTAGTAGTCCTGATGAATCAGTACTGTAGTTTGTGACCATTTGTTTTTTAAATTTCCTTTTTATTGTTTAAATTCACACAAAAATATTACTTTGGTGACATTGTCCATTGATGCTATTATTGTATGATTCTCATTTGCTTCTTTGATCACCATTGTCATCACAAGGGAAAAGGACACTGAAAGCTACTGAAGTGAATTTTTTCTTGTTCCTACAAACTGCGCAATTGTCAAAATCAACAGCTTTTTCTGCAAGCTAAACTGATTTCTCATGTTAGACATTTAATAATCAATTTCAAGTCAAGAAACTAAGATCTGTATTTGCATTTGAGGGGGGAAAAACTTTATAATTTTGCCAGAGGTAATAATACTAAGAAGATCCAGTTAATTATAAAGGTTGGTGTGGAACTGTGTATAAAGGTCTCTGTTAGTTTGCTTGTTCTTTGATAACATGTGGTGACTGAAATTTTGTATGGTCCTGTTGTGGTGAGAATACTATCCTGCTCCAATATTCAAGCAACTGCATCTAATGCTATCTGAATGAATACCTAGTAGCTGCATATTTAGAAAAGGTAGTACACCAATAAATCAAAAGCTTTAACATGGCAATGCCCTAGCATAAATTCAAAAAGCATAATTGATCAAAACCAGTTTGCTAACTCAAACATATGAGTTTTATTTAGAGTTTTTTCAGACTCATAAATTCCTGTCTATCTGAATCAGGAGCTTCTACGGAAAGAGAGCAGCAAAACAGGTGGCAGCGGTGGTTTCTCCATCACCTTCTTGTTTGTCGTGGGCCTTCTGGGCATCGTCGTCGGCTATATCCTCAAGAGAACATAGTTGGAATGGTGTCTACAGCAGAGCTATACTACCGTGAAAGGATACCCACACGTGGTATCCCTCCCCATGTGTTTGTGCTCCTGAACGGAGCTCCCTGTTCTAACGTGTAACAACAGCAGCACTCCTAGAAGCCTTTGGTTTGTGTACATTATGGCGGTTCATACTTTTTTTTTCTTTCAGAATTCTTTTCAGAGTGTTTTTTAGACTTGTTTTAAACCTAACTGCTGCAATGTTGTTACCATTCACCATAACCTTTATTCTTTCTGATTCTGATGGATCTCAAATTTGCTGGGATGTTTCTACCCAACTGAAAATGTTTGAACTGTTGGTGCCAATCTGATGAATTTGCCAGATATTTGATTCATTTAGTCTGAAGTATTCCGAACTCACATAGATGCATTAGGTGTGTACAGTATGTAATCACTGAGCATTCAGAGCAACTAGTAAAATAGCTTCATGTTTGATTACAACATCATACGTGCTTCTGTTCCAACTATGTAATCAAGAAGTTAGTGCACCTGAAAAAAAAAATGTATGTGTTCATCATTCAGGTTGGCACTGTCACCGTGCACGTCGTCGGCGACTCCTGATGCATCAAGAAGAGCACTGCGGCGGCTGCGCCAGCGAGAAACCCTACCAGCAGCCACCCAAACCTTGCCGCAGCGAGCCTCAACGGAGAGGATGGCACGTCCCCGCTGGCTGCCATCGTCTCTGCTTCCACCGGGTCGTAGTAGTCGTCCACCGCTTTTCTCTCCAACACCGTAAGCCAGCCGTCGTCGCCGTGGCCATCGTCTAGGTCTCCCCCGCTGGGCCGCCGTGTCTTTTCCGCCGGCGCATTGCCGCTTCTGCCCACCTCCGTCACGGCGGAGGCGCTCTGGACGCTGTCCTGCGCCGCCGTCCGGCCACTGCCGCCCTTGCAGTCGTGGCCGTGCTCGCCGGCGTTGGGCCTGGACGTGTCGTCGGTTGGTGCGTTCTCCATTGTTGTCCTCGTATACGTAGGTCTAGAGGACAGATTTTTGGCAGTAAAGGCTTCGTTGTTTTTGTTCGTTGCGATGTCCACGAACCGCACGCTGACATGCATATACACGGCTCGCCCTTTACGGACGCGTCGGTTCGGCGGCGGCTCCGCGCCGTCGGATCGAGTCCGTTCCGTGTGCGGCGTGATGTGGGCCGTCAGATCAACAGCCGCCGCCGAGATTATGTTGGTGCAAGTGCAACCACGAAATTACCATATGATGAGAACGTTCGTTCCTAATTAATATGGGAAAGGGATGGCACCTGCTTTTTTTTTTGGCGAGATTCACATGAAATCGTGCCGTTTCTGTGAAACTTGCGGGAAGGGATGAGCACGAGTTCCTCTGCTTTGGTATCTTTCGATGTTCTTACTTAACTCCTGCTTGATGAACCTTCTCAGCTTGTGTATATGCATTTTCTTCTCTTCTCGCGGAAGCGGACCAATTAGAGGACTCTGTCGTCAAAACAAAGGACTGACGAACCTTCTTAGTTTTCTTGACAAAAGGTAGGAGGTACTCCTCCAGTCATCAAATAAACCAATTTATAGAATCCAAACTTTAATGAAAAAAGTAACAACATCTATAACATAAAATAAACATATAACGAAAATATATTCTATGATATATGATGTCATAAATCTTGACATTTTTTTGTGGAAATTCGGTCAAAGTTTAAAAGGTTTGACTTAAGATAACTCAAGAAATCTATTTATTCAAGGATAAAGGGAGCATGTCTTAAACTTAACCTAGAAGAGCTTTGCAAGCCATAATAGTTTTAATTATACTCCCTCGGTCATAGAATAAATTAACTTCTAGAGTTATATCAAGTAATATTATTTTAAGTGTGTAACAAAATTTATAAAAATAATAGCACCAATATTTATGACATGAAGTTTGGATCACCTATTCATCATGAGAGATATTTTCATAATTTACTTATTTTATATCATATAAGTGTTGTTATTCTTTACTATAAAGTTGGTCAAACTCAAGATTGTTTTGATTTAGGGCGATTCTATGAGTTGATTTATTTGAGGCGGAGAAAGTATCAAGTAGCATATGACATGAAGAGATTTAGACATCCTATCCTACTAGTTCGAGTTTTCCATGGCTCCAACCTTTGAAATTTCTCAGAGTTCACATGGCAACGCCGGGATAGTTTTCTTGACAAAAGGTTCACCAAAATTTTGAAGGTCAATCAATCAAAAGCAGCACACATGACATCCTCTGTTTTCTGGTCCTCTCTTCTTGCATGATTTAAAGATTGCAGTGGAGGATTTTTCTTCCCACCACGACGATATACAAAATGCAGTTACACTATTGTCACCGACACCCAGGCCCCACCATCCTTCCGCCTAATTAAGTAAACCCTTGCGCGATTTTACATTCCCCCTCCCTTCTAAGAGACAAGTTATTAATTTTTATACTACACGCGTACGCACGCGCGCCGATCGACGACGCGTGCTGTACACACACTCGTACACACTGACGACTGAGTAACACATGACACGATGGTACAACACGCGGACGGAGCAATCAATCCGAGCCGTTGGATTTGATCGACGATCGGACGGATATGCTTGTTGGTATAGGGGGTCGCGTGCCTCGTCGATCATCGATCAGTGGAGCATGGGCTCGTCGGCCATCTCGACGCCGTTGACGCTGCCGTCGGCGCCGGGCCGTCCGGCCTTGTACTTGTACCACCTGGCGGCGACGAGGTAGACGAACAGATTGGCGAGGCAGATGACGGCGAGCAGCCAGTAGAAGTTGTCGAGCCTTCCCTTGTTAAGGTCGTTGGCGATCCAGGGGTGGCGGTCGCCCGTGACCCTGTGCACGGCGGCGACGAGCGCGGAGCTGACGAAGAACCCCAGCGACAGGGTGCTGAGGAACAGCCCCGTGCTCATGGTCTTCATCCCCTTGGGGCACTCGCGGAGGAAGAAGTCGAGCTGGCCGATGTACGTGAACGCCTCGCCGGCGCCCACAAGAAAAAACTGCGGGATGAGCCAGAACACGGACATGGGCACCACGCCCCCCGCCGGGACGGCGGCGTCGCGCGCCACGCGGAGCCGCCTGATCTCCGTGAGCGCGGCGCCCGCCATGGCGACGACCGAGAGGGCGAGGCCGACGCCGATCCGCTGCAGCGGGGTGAGGCCGTGCGGGTTGCCGCTCACGCGGCGCGCCACGGGCACCACGATCCGGTCGTAGACGGGCACCGTGAGGAGGATGGAGCCGACGAAGAAGACGGTGAGGGAACCGGCGGGGATCTGGAAGGAGGACCCGATGTGGCGGTCCATGGTGGTGGCCTGCGACACCGAGAAGGTGGTCATCTGCGCGTACACCGTCCAGAACATGATGGTGGTCGCCCAGATGGGCAGCATCCGCACCACCGTCTTCACCTCCTCCACGTCCGTCAGCGTCGCCAGCCGCCACTTGCTCGGCTCTGCCGCCGGCTCCTCGTTGATGGCGGCGTGGTCCAGGAAGCTGCAGTACCAGATTAAAACACGCGGGAAAACCCAACCGTCAGCTGCTGCTGTTAGATTTTTTTTATTTTTAAAAAAGAAATTCAAGCAACAACATTCAATCAAAAGCTGAAAGGATAAACAAGCAGGAGCTTCTGTTCAGAGTTCAAACAGAGTAAATCTGTTTTTTTTTTTCTCGTGCTTTCTTCAGAAAACAAAGACATACAGTAAAGTTAATTATAATATCATTTTTTTTCCAATCAAGCAGTGACACACACACACACACACACACACACACACACACACACACACACACACATATATATATATATATATATATATTATAAGATGGTTATTAAAAAGTTCATTCTTGAAATGTTCTCCGAAAAAAAATTTGTTCTTTTCAAGCATTCATGTAGCTATCAGAGGACCACTTTAAGATGAAACAGAGAGGCATGCAGAATGCAAAGTGGTTTTGGGCTTTGAGGAAAACACCAAGCAAGGCATGCGCAGACTAAAGCAGTGGTCACAGGCGCGAGATTCTGCACGAGATGGAGACACCAACCCAATCAGACACCTAAACAATTCAGAGAGCTAGTGCTTGTCTAAGCAGATGGCCGGCCTACATACGACGATGCGTCCAGCATGCAGGGGCATCTGTATTTCTTATTATAGAAGAAGATGCAATCGCCATCTCAATAATAATCACTCGGGAGAGAAGAGAAGAGAATCGTCGACGACACTTAATGCGTCATCAGAGCTTATCATTTAAACAGGTCATCATCTGTATCAGCCTGCCTGCCAGAGGCCCTGCTATGGAAATGGAATGAGAGCAAGGCACGCCGGGTATTTTTTATTTTCAAGTTGAAGAAACAAGAGATTCAGTGCGTCAGGTGTGGCAATAATCTTTCCCAATTCCACATGCTGGACTGGTGGACTGTTGAGGACCAATCAGGGACAAGAAACAAACACCTGTTCATGCAAATATGCATATATGCAATGATGGAATGATGCAGGTGTAAGTAAAGCATCCTTCCTTCCCCAGATAGACAGGGTAGAATATAGCATCATCGTCATCGACGACGACTCTGAAGTCTGAGCTCTGAACTCTGAAGAGACTTAAACAAGCATTGTGGTCAGGCTCAGCTGCGATGCCTTATCGATAAGATAACAAAAGGAGGAGGGTTAGTGGGCACATCTATCTATCCCTCCCCGTGTCTGGCGTTAATCTGAGGCTTGGTCATGTGATGATTCAGCAAAAGGAATACCATACCCCTCCCCTGTCTCTGTCATATGCTCATGTAGTCATGTGCAAAAGCATTGCGACCGAGATGGAACGAACTCACGGCAGGGAATTTGCCAGCAGGAGGACATGGGCCTCGAACCCTTCAGAAGACCGTGAGGAGTCCCAGCCATGTCCGTGCCGATGCCGACCGCCATGCCCATTTGCCCAAACCCCGACGAGCGAGATCACGTGTTCAGGTCCCGGACACCACTCACTAAAACACCGTCTTCTAAAAGCAACAGCAAAAGGGCCATAAAAAAAAAAAGGAGGAGGGTCGGTTTCGATGGCTGCAAGTAAGCAAGGGTTAACAGCCACTAATCTTGATCAGGCCGGCATAAGAGAGCACGGATGGGGGATGGCAACGGCAGGCACCATCACATGCCATGCCTGCAGTGCAGGCTGCTTTATCTCCCGGACGCGCGTATGGTGATGGTCCATGCGTCCATGAAATGGTCTAGTCCATCTCGATCCCTCCAGTGATCTTTCTTTTCCAGAGGACATGATGCATGGCCACACCATCACCACACCAAGCCACCAAACACGCACAGAGAGAAAGAAAGAGATGCAGTGCCAAAGACGACGGCCAACCTACCTAGACGGCAGCAGCAGCATGTGAGAGGGATGCAAAAGGTTGCTTCGATCGGTTAGATAGATAGATTTGGCCGTCCCCATCCATGGCGCCCACTCGTCGCCCGTCCGTTGCTGCTGCCGTTCCCCACACACAACACACCATGCTGCTGCTGCTGCTGCTCCTCTGTTCCTCTCCAATGCAAGATCACCACTTCCCTGTTCCTTTGAGCCTTTCGCGTCCACCACTGAATCATGCTGCCGATCTCCATTTCATTTGCCCCCTGAAGTCCACCACTGAATCATGCTGCCGATCTCCATTTCATTTGCCCCCTGAAACTAACAATCATGCACCCGCCTTTCCTCTGCCTTTCCAGAGGCCTTTCGGTGTGCAGTGCACACGTCCTGGTCATACTCGCAAACAGTGATCTAATAATTGAAGGAATGCGTATCTGTAGGGCTCTCTTTTGGGGATTCAGTTTAGCTATAGCCTTCTAGTGTCATGTTATGTAGTGGCCCACTGTACTGTGAGTTCATATATCATATATACATGGAGGAATATGTTTAGTTTCAGCGCACACATCACACGTGTACGATCAAGTCTGGTCACTGAACTTTGCTGTGCCGTCAGCCGTCACCCTAGCTGAATCCGATT